TCCAAAAGTGTGTATGACTATTCAGAAGGAAAATGTATACGAAATCCTACTCCCCTATGAAGGAAGTCACGAGGTTATTTTATAACTACTGTTGGTGAAAGATAGGGAGGACCTCGATGTCTAGGAGGATTTAATATAGTTGGGTGACTTACTAATAGCCTTATGAGTGTCCTAGGCCCCAGAACTCTGGTCGGGAGTCTCCACGTGATGCTCCTTTACCTTGACCTTCTTTTGAGGCTTATCTTGTTGGTCGAGCTAGATCAGTCGGTGTAGGTTCGAGTCTCCACCATACATGCGAAATGTAGGCTAACTAGTGAAACTCCCAACAACTTTTGAACAATAGGATTGTTGTGGATCCAGAGTCGCATAAACATGAAAATGAGATATTTCCAAATCAAGAGTTATCATTTACATTAATCATGCATGATGTAATTAGACTTATATTTTGTTAGATTGTACAAGTTACAACTATATTAATGTGATGTATCCTCTCATTTACTTTGTTTTATTCTTTTTTGAAGGTTATTTACTTAGAAATATATCTCACTCCTTCTTTTCTTTGTTGAAATATGTTGTGGTGTTAGACATTTTCTTTTAGTTGTCACAGATCTTGAGGATGGCCTTTCTCCGTCTTATTCTCCACATTGAGCTCAATTTGAGGAGGATCCTTCGGATACCAAGGAGATAGTAGAAGAGGACCCTTGCAAGGAGTCTTGATTAATGTTTAGTTATTTTTTTTGTTGTCTATTGCTAGAAAAGGACTTCACTTGTTGTATGGTGGAGAATTTGATACTTTATATTTTATTTTGGTAGCTTGGGTATAATGTACTTTGTTTTGGTACTCTGATGGTCGCAAATTGTGTTTTAAGATTCTTAGATAATTTGCGGTTACTTTAGATAATTATGAGATTATTTATATGACTAAGTTTATGTTATCAGTTATCTTCTGATTTTTATTTGGATGAAATTAAATAGGTAGGAAATATGTTCTTCAATGCATACAGGTAATGAATGTGAACTCTGTGGGTTCGTCATATTATTAGTAATTAGCTTATGAGCAGGTGAAAAAGATTAGAGTCTACTTGTATAGTTATGTCAATATATGGTATGGCTATATTATTCAAGTGGTACTTACTAATATTATGATTTTCTAAAGGTTCTAACTATAGGTAAATGAAGAAAACAAAATCTCATGAGTAATTATTAGTAATAAGAGTATGACATGAATTTTTATAAATTGTTGTCTATCAGGTGCATGAAGAATCAAGATCCAAGCCGTGACTGTGTGTCACTTTAAAATATATTAAAAGCAAGTTCTCAATACTCAAGAATGATAGTGGTATCCATAAACCAGGTTGAATAATCCTATGCATTCATGTTTAAAAAAAATCTCATTTGGTCCAAGACTCTTAATAGCAATCTGTATACATTACATGTCAAGTTATCTAAATGTAGTAGGATTGTCGAGTCTCGGTCACGGTTGTCACCGTTACATTTTGAGATAATGGTTCATTTTCATTCAATATTTTTGTTGATTTTTTGGTTCATTTTTTATAGGGCTTGATGCAAGTTTTTGAAGAATTTTACTTTTCTGTTGAGTATAGATTTTGTTTAAGGCACTTATACAACAAGTTGAAGAAGAAGTTTGGAGGAGGACTGTAACTAAGAGATCTTATGATGGGTGCTGCTAAAGCAACATATGAACAGCTTTGGAGGGATTACGTGTAGCAGATCAGAGATTTGAATGAGGTTGCTTAATGATTTACCTTTACAGGCAAAAATGGTGCCAACAAGACCACATATGGGACCAACCACAAGATCTAGTGCAAGAGCACAGGGAACATCTACTACTGCAGAGATGAATCTAGTCCTTGTTGCAAATCTGAATGAAGGGCCAACTCTACCATCTTTATCAATTCCACCAAGTCAACCAACTAGATTTGAATAAAGACTGTGTTTTTTTTTTGAACCATTTTGGTAGAGGAATAGTACTTTATGTTATATCGTATTGAGAGTAATGTAACTTTATTTTAAATAATGTGCAACAACTTACTTTAATTTAGTATTCATGTGAATGAGAATCCTTTTATGGACCACTTTATGTACCTTTTGATTACATTAAACAATGTGCAGCATGCATATCTTTTGGGACCATTGTTCTATATGTTGATGTCTTATTTTCACACATTTTCTAATTTGTTACTTATTACAAAAATAGGATAGTTATTTACCAAATTGGGAAATTTAAGGTAGTAATATGAAAAAATTAAATTATGGAGGTAGTTAAGCAGAAATGGTTTATATTTATACGTATTGTTATGCAATACTCAATTTATGAAGGTAGTTAATAAGTAATCACAACAGTACATTGATTGTGAATTGTTGTCAAATCATGATCAGTTTTTACAGTGAATATAACTAAATTCAATAGGTTGAACAGAATAAAAAAACACAATGAGCAGAGTCATGAGCATAAATCTTATGTCATTGAATTCATTCAACCATATTCAAAACAACTTTTACTCTATTGAATTACAAACTGTCAACATTTAAAACTTTTCTACCAACAACATTCACTGCTGCTACAATGCTCACAATGGTAAAGAAAAACTAAAGCACAATCACTAAATATCCTAAAATTTTCACCCTACTCTTCTCAACAACAATCTTTTTGTTTTTATGGGATAATTTAAGCTTCATTAATTTAAGTTGTTAATGGAGATCATGACATTCTTGCTGAATTTGCACCATCTCTTCTTTGGTTTTTGCCATTTTCTCCTCTGTTGCTTTTTCAACCTCCGTTAAATTACCAATTTTTACCTTCAACTCTTGAATTGTATGGATTTCTTTCGACATAATAGACTCATTGTCCCCCATATACAGGATCTTTAACCCAACAAAAATAATTGCAAGAATTAGGTTCTTACAAACCAAATACAAACAAATTTGTAAATAGAATCACAAATCCAGAACAAATACAACCAGTTGAACTTACATTCCAACCAAAGCATCTCTAAAGCCTTCTTACATTTGTAAGTTACAGCTTGTGAAGAAGATGAGCACGATAAATAATCCACACTACTTATTTCGTCAAGACAAAGAATTGAAACAAAACCTGAGATGAATAACGACAACACACGATAAAGAACCCTAACCTTCTTTTTCCTTTTATGCTTCTTCTTCCTTCTAAGTTTGTCTTCGGCATCTTCGTTCTGTGCTTCTTCTTTAATTAGGGTTTTAGATTTGGCCCTTTTCCCCTCACATCACCCAAAACGTAACGTTTAGGTTAAAATTTAAAAATGTTGATGTGAAATCCTGACATAGTGGTTTAATGGTTGAGATAGATGAGAGAAATCGATGGTAACATGACAAACTGTTAGCCACATCACCATTTAACTGATAGAGGTTAACGTCATGTATAAAATTGGAAAAAGAAATTAGTTAGGCATTAAAATGAAAAAAAAATTGAGGTAGTTTTTTGAAATAAGCCCTATTTGGAGGTAATTAAAAGGTATTTAAACCTTAAGTCATCTAATTAAAAGGTATTTATCAATGGACAATCAAAATTTTACGATAACATGCAATAGGATTTTTATCATGATCGATCACCACGCAAGCAAGTCAAGGCATATTTCATTAAGCAAATGATTCAAAAATATAGACAGATTAAGGGGAATATCGTGCATGTAATTAGTCAAATTTATTATGGTGTGCAGGAAGTAAAAGAAAACACACACAGACATTATTTCACATGCAAACAGTCAAAGGAACTAGGACTCCCCTCTTACCTTAGCTTAGTTGCAAGAGAGAAGAAAGAGAAGGGTAAAGGTTCTCTTTTCTTAGGGTAGAATTTTGGGTGAGCAGCCTTGTAGTTATTATCGTGGAGAATTGGAAGTGAAGAACTTGAAAGAGCAAGGTTGTGAAGCGAGTGCAATTTGAAGAATAGTGTTCACATTTTTCATCTTCTCAATCTTTCTCTCAAATGGTGTTTCTCTTGAGGGAAAAATGAGGTAAAGATGATTTAATTCTCTTTTATATTTGGGCTTGTATGCAAGGGAGGTTAATAGCCACCTAATTTGTCATTAACTTGCTCATACTCTCTCTTTTCACTATAAGATTTCTACGTGACTTCTCACCTTCCTCCATTAAGTTCTAAAGTCTTCCACATCTTACTAAGGTCACTTAAGTTGCGCAAGGATTATTATAATTATTAGGACGTCTCTCGAGTATTTATTGCATGGAAAATTTTAAGAAAGACTAAAAAGTAGAACACAAAGATTCAGACGTGGTTTATGTGAAAGGGCGTGTGAACTCTGAAAGGTTAGCATGAGTGATGTATTTATTGGAATATTTATGCGCAAATGGCTAACCATGATGACTTTAGTAAGCCATTATAACTATACCCAAATACACACACAGCGAGAAAATGAGAGGAAGAACACTGAATATCTCAATTCTCAAATCAATTCAAAACTCTCGTACAGAAGGATGCCTTTTATAGGCTTTAACATGCAATATTAAAATATTTTAGTAAACCATCTTGTGAAGAAACGTAATAGTTAGTTTTTGCATATTGATAACCACTGCCTCATCTTATCCCTTTGACTTCATGCCATACTCTAACTCCTACCAAAGTAATTTGGTGCCTGCAATGCCTTCTAGCAAACCAATAAAATTTGTTGCCTTTTCATAAAAAAATATTTGGTTCAAACTTGATTTAACAAAGCTTCTGACAGTGCTCCCTTAAATCAAGCTTTTATTATATTAAGCATTTTCTTCAATTTGTAAAATAATTCAACCTTCAATGGCTTAGTGAAAATATCTGCAATTTGATCTTCAGTGTGACAATAATTAATCTCCACTTCCTTCTCAGCTACTAGCTCTCGAATCTTGTGAAATCTAATATCAATGTACTTGGAGCGCCCATGAAAGACTAGATTTTTGCAAAGTGCAATTGTGGACTTGTTGTCACAAAATATCTCTATGGGAGTATCTTGCTTCTAGTGCATTACTTCAAGAATTCTTCTTAACCATATAGCCTGAGTGGCATAACTAGCTTCTGATATATATTCTGCTTCTGCTATTGAAAATGCAACGATTGGTTGTTTCTTTGAGGACCACGATATTGCACCTGAACCCAAATGAAACGTGTACCCTGATGTGCTTTTTCTTGTTTCTATATCTCCTGTCCAATCATTATCTGTATAGTCAACAAGCTTCACATTAACATTATTGGCATAAAAATTTCCATCAGTCAGAGTACCTTTGATATATCTGAAAATTCTTTTTGCTCCCTGTACATGACATGCACGTGGCTCTTCCATCAATCTACTGAGCAATCCTACTCCAAAGACAATATCTGGTGTAGTAGCAGTCAAATATCTGAGGCTTCCAATCAAGCTCTTATAGTAGGTTGGTTCAATTCTCTTGCCTTCAGCTTCTATTGTCAGCTTCAATTTTTCTTCAACTGGTGTGGAAACTGGTTTTGAATTCTCCATCTTGAACTTCTTCAGGATATCATCGGCATATTTCCTTTAAGAAATGAAAATTCCTCCTTCTTGCTAAATGACCTCAATGCCTAGAAAATAAGACATTAGGCCTAAATCTGTCATTTCAAAATGTCTTGTCATAGCCTCCCTGAATTCTGCCATCATCTTGAAATTATTGCTAGTAAAAATTAAATCATCAACATACAAGCATACAATAAGGATATCTCCAAGTTCAACATTTTTTATATACAAAGTATGCTTATACGGGCATCTTTGGAAACCATTCTGCACAAAGTAAAAATCAATCTTTTTATACCACGCCTTGGGTGCCTGCTTCAAGCCATACAATGTTTTTTCAATCTGTAGACATTATCTTCTTTTCCTTCAACTTCATATCTTGCAAGGTGCTCAACATATACTTCTTCTTCCAAAGTGCCATTCAGAAAAGTAGACTTAACATCCATTTGATGAGTTTTCCAATTAGTTTGAGCTGATAGAGAGATAAGCATACAAATTGTATCTAATCTTGCTACAGGAACAAATACCTCAAAATAATCAACACCTGGCTTTTGTTTGTACCTTTCTACTACTAACCTTGCTTTGAAGCGGTCAATTTCTCCACTAGGTTTGTACTTATTTTTGTATACCCACTTTACTCCAATTGGCCTTTTGTCTGTTGGTATGTCTGTCAGCTCCCATATTTGATTCTTCTCAATAGCATGGATTTCTTCATCCATTGCTTTTCTCCAATGTTGATTATTTGAAGCTTCTTCAAATGTTACAGGCTCACAATATGTAAATAAGGCAAAATTGATAATTTCTTCATGAGATGGGTCATTATCATTACCCACAGTGTAATCCTTCAATCTGACTGGTAGTCTCCGATGCCTTTGTGGCTGTTTGATGGTTCTAGCTCATCAAGTGTTGGACCTACATGTCTGTTCTCCTCTTCATAATTTTTTGGAATTATTGCAGTCTCCTTTTGGGCTTTGAAAGACCAATCCCATATTCCTTCTTCATCAAATGTCACATCTCTGCTGATAATTATCTTTTTTGTCATTGGATTGCAAAGCGTGTATGCCTTTGAGTTGGTGCTGTAACCAATAAAGATGTACTTCTCTCCTTTTTCATCGAGCTTCTTTCTGAGTTGATCTGGTACATGAGCATATGCTATATACCCAAAAACTCTAAGATGCCAGATTGAGGGCTTCCTTCCACTCCAAGCTTCTTCTGGTGTTTTATCACAAACACTCTTTGTTGGACACCAATTCAAAATATACAGAGCAGTAGAAACTGCTTCTGCCCAAAATTCTCTAGGCAGTTGTTTTGCTCTCAACATGCATCTTACCATGTCCATGATTGTTCTGTTCTTCCTTTCTGCTACTCAATTTTGTTGGGGAGTGTATCTGGTTGTCAATTGATGCTGAATTCTGTGTTGATCAAAGAGATCAGCACAGGCGAGATATTCTTAGCCTCTATTTGTCCTTAATGCTTTAATTCTATAGTCACTTTGTTTCTTCACAAATGCCTTAAATGACTTAAAAGCATCACAAGCTTTTGATTTTTTGTTCAAAAAATACACCCAAGCTTTTCTGCTAAAGTCATCAATAAAAGTAATAAAATATCTGCTACTGTCATGAGTTGGTATCTCAACCATGCATAAATCTGAATGGACAATTTCCAATAGCTTTCTTGCTCTCTAGGACTTTCCAGTTGGAAAGGATTCTCTGTGTTTCTTTCCAATTTCACAAGTCTCACATATTCTTTTCTAGATAAAAAATTTAATCCAAAAAAGTGATAATGTTCAAAGTGCATGTGCCATAACTAATCATCATTTTGTATATTGGAACTCAGGCAAGGAATTTTATTATGTTGAACCTTCAAAGGGAATAGGCGATTTGGAGTCATTTTTACCTTGGCAATGAATCTTTCATTTTATCAATCAACGTACAGTAGCCATCACGAATCTGCATGTTGTAGCCTTTCTCTAATAATTGTCCCATGCTCAATAAATTGTGATGAAAACTAGGGGCATAGAAGACATTAAAGATGAAATTTTGAGAACTATCCTTCAAATCTGATAGCAATTTGGCCTTTCCCCAAAATAGGAATATTTGAATTATTTTTTAATTTTATGGTAGATTTTACCATTTCATTTAGTGAGGAAAATAACTCTTTTTTCCCACACATGTGGTTACTGCAGCCTGTATCTAAGTACCAGATATTTCTATTGCCTACAAAATTATTTGCTGCTAGAAGTAAAGTTTGGGGATTATCAGAACTCTCACCAGCATATTGATATTGATTTTCTGCCATATTTGCTTGTTGTTTGTATCTACAATCTACAGCTTTGTATCCAAACTTTCACAGTGGTAGTAGTTAAAGTTTGTCCTCTTTTGGTGGTTTAAGCCTCCTCTTCCACGATTGGCAGATCTGAAATTGTGTTCACCTCTCCCTTTATTAGATGTCCTGAAATTGTTCTCTCCATTGTTGATTAAAATTATAACGACCTTTTCTTCTGAAGTTACCACGACTTCTATCTTCACTTTGGCTGGATTCTGTTACGTTGGTAAAATTCACCTGATTCTTCAAAGCTTCTTCATTTACCTTTTCTATTTTCTCCAAGATTCTGCTTACATGGCTTTCAATACTACCTTGCAACTTTACAACTGTCATGGTGTCAGTGTCGTGGGACTCAATTATTGTAGTCACCACATGATCGAACTTTATTGGCATGGTGCGTAGAATTTTCTCCACCACCTTGCTCTTAGGGATGTCTTCTCTATACACCCTCATCTTATTGACAAGATCTATTACCCATGAAAAATATTGTTCCATAGTTTCTGAACTGGACATCTCATATCTTTCATATTCTCAACGCATGGATTGCAGTTTGGATTTCTGAGCTTTCTCTACTCCTTTGTATGATAACTCCAAAATGTCCCACACTTCTTTGGCTGTTTTGACATTTGCTATTTTGCTAAAAATTGAATAATCTACACCTTGGTGAATTTTTTATAGTGCCAACTGGTCCTTTCTTTGAGTAGCATCCTTAGCTCCTTGTTGTAAGCCTAGTTCAATAAAGCTCCAAATATTGTGAGCTTTCAAATGGGTGGACATCAACAATGCCCAATAATTATAATCTAGTTTCCCATCTAATTTGGGACTGGACCAAACAATATTGTAGTTTGTGCCCATCTTTCTCTTTCAAATAGATTTTAAAAATTTTGATAAAGTGGGGACTCTTTTGTTCCTTACACACTCAAACCTTTTGACAGAAACTCTCTCACAAACTCACAAAATCAATGCTGGATCTAACCAGCTCTGATACCAATTTGATATCAGTAAGCCATTATAAGTATACCCAAATACACGCACATCAAGAAAATGAGAGGAAGAACACTGAATATCTCAATTCTCAAATCAATTCAAAACTGTCGTACAGAAGGATGTCTTTTATAGGCTTTAACATGCAATATTAAAATATTTTAGTAACCCATCTTGTGAAGAAATGTAATAGTTAGTTTCTGCAGATTGATAACCACTGCCTCATCTTATCCCTTTGACTTCGTGCCATACTCAGACACCTACCAAAGTAATTCGGTGCCTGCAATGCCTCCTAGCAAACCCATAAAATTTGATTGCCTTTTCATAAAGAAATATTTAGTCCAAACTTTATTTAATAAAGCTTCTGACACAGTTTTCGGAGAGCAAGTCACGCTCCCCACCTTTAAGGGATTTCTACGTAATTAGAATAACCACAGATGGTGGTCTAGTAAGGTAATAAATGGAGCATGCAAGGAAAATAATTTTTTTTTTGAAAGAACGTGCATAAGAACACAAAGAGCTCACGTCAGAAAAGCCATGCAAAACTTAAAGGGGCAAATTGTGGGGCATTGTTTTCGTAAAAGCATCCAAAGGATACCAATCATGCGTAATTAAAATAGATAGGGTAGAGCAGATCTTTGTCCTTTAGAATTCCCACACAATTTTAATACAGGGACAAGGGAGAAACTCACAGGAACATGACAACATAAGAAGGGGAAAAACCTCACATATAATTATAAGAGAATTGTTATTAAGAGGAAAAATGGGGTCCAGTGCTTGCATACATATTACAGCCCATATGTTAGGGCCTGATGTTAAGTTGTCCCTATGTAACATGCAACAACTAACTCAAACAAGAACAATAGGAATAATTATAAATCAATATACTCAAATAGAATTAATAATAAGGAAGTAATCAAGAAAAAAAAAGAAAATAATGGCAATTGCTTAAGATAATAAAAATGAAAATAATAAAATATAAAAGAGGAAAGAAGAAAAAAAGGGGAAAAGAAAAAAAGAAAAAGAAAATTCTCCTCAAAATATACTAATAGGCATTGATTAAGGTTTAGGAATTAGTCTAAATTTTTTAGGATGTTACACCATGCTTCCTTACCACATCTATAAGGAAATTGCTAAAATCAATCATCTTACTCTCTCTGATACTAAATTTAGTTTCTTGGGTCTTGTCTAACAATGATATTTTTTAAATCAAAATAGCCTATCAGTTAATTTCTTAAGCACATCATCCTCCCCCTATCCTAATGTCTTTAAGCCTATTTAGAAATGGGATGGCCCTCCTGAAGTGCCTTTTTTCCTTCAAAAAATTTTCCATAATAGATTATTTATCAAAGAAAAAGAGCTAAAAGGGATTGATTGATATAGCTTTTGTCCTAGGTGTGGTGTTGGTGATGAATCTATAATGCATGTTTTGCATAATTGTTTCTAGGCTAAAAAGGTTTGGGATCATTTTTTTTTTTATCAGTGGACCTGGTTCATTTTTGCTAGCCTGTCAACTTGGCTTTATGGAAACTTGTCTAACTCTTGCTTTAGCAAGTTTACTAATTGACAAAGACTGTTTGGATTTATTATTTGGTACCTATAGAAGAATAGGAATGCTTTTGTTTTAAATAATTATTCTGTTCAAGCCTTTATTTTAATTCAAAAAATTATCTGTGATGTTGACTATTTTGAGTTTATTGTAGGAATTGACAGTTCTCACTCCCTAAGATTGATATGGACCAACCTAGGACCATATGGGTTCCTTCTCCAAGGGGTCAACTGTTGTTACAATTCTAAACACTAGCAAGTACACTAGGAATTGTAGCAAGTAATGAGTAAATTTAAGATCAAAGTATCGTCTCTACAAGGAATTAGGAGTTTAATTACCAATTCATAGAGCAAAAACTAGTTGAGTCATACAAATTTGGAAATGATGTAACATATGAAGGCAATGAACCAGAACAATACAAAGAATTAAATTTGCAGTAAAAACAGAATATGAAAGTTGTGATGAAATGAGATAAGAATGAAGAATAGTTAGAAATTTACTTCACAAGAATGTCAATATTGATTCAACTATACTTCTGAATATTCAAGCAATTGGTTAATTGACAATCAGTTTCACATATAACTAGTCAAAGATTAATCCCTTAACTCATTGACCCTAACAATCCACTAATTCTCCCTAATCCCTTAGGTGGAGTTCAATTTCATGTTGCATTGAGAGTTAGAACCGTAGGATTGCAGAATTAAGTGTACTTATCCCTAAGAAACCCTAATTCTGGTTGTTAATTTATATCAGAGAATCAAATCCAATTCCCATTGGCAAATGTTTCTCTTTGATTAACCAAATGAATTTCCATTCAAAGATTACGTAAAGTGCAGAATTGACAACTCAATTAATCGAAAAACTCAAATTTCAGAAGCAAGAATCAAATCAATACATCAATTCGAGTTCCATAAACTCCTAACTACAAAGAATTACACAGACATTGTGACAGAGAAATCTAACAGAAAAAACAGAAAATGAACAAAAGACCTCAAGTTCTGAGCTTAAGACATGTATTTATAGAAATCCTGATTCTGTGCGTTGTCACTCTTGTTGGTAAGAGTGGCCATGCAGAAGCTCATGTGGTTTCTGGAAGACTGGAATATTTACTTTCGTTGATAAGAGTAGCAACGCAGGAGGTCGAGGAGTGTGCGTGATTACTTTCAAGAGCAAGAGTGACCACGCATAACTTGCCTTGATACACTCCTCTCTGGAACATCCACTTTAGCTGGCAAGAGTGGTAACGCAGAGCTTATTGAAATTCTTCCTTCTCTGGAATGCGCACTTTCGTTGGCGAGAGTGGTAACGCACAACTCTACTGATATTGAACTTCTTTGGAATGTTCACTTTCAGTGATAATAGCGATTACGCCCATACTCAACTTTTCATTTAAGCTATGAATCACTCACTTTCGCTGACAAGAGTAACCACGCCCAGCATAAACTTTATAAGTCATGTTCTTTGAGTCCAGACTTGCTACTTTTTTGCTATTTCTCCATTGATCTATCAGCTTCATGGATTTTGCTTAGAATTTTCTACAAAAACACACTTCAATTATTAATTTCTACACAGAAAATTCATAAATGCCAAACTAACTATGTATTTAAAGAATTTCTTCAATCATTCTGTTTTTATGATTTTTTTTTTTTGCTTTTTCCAACACATTTTCCTTATCAAATGGATTAAAACTATAATAAAATACTAGTAAAAATATGGATTTATCATCAACTAAATTTGAATATTGATGGGACTATGTGTGGCAATCTGAAAGTGGATACCTGTGAAGACATCATCAGAGATTGGAAAGGTAATTTTGTGTCTAGTTTTTACTGCTCTCCCCAGAAGCTGGCTGTGGGGCATCTATCATGGAATTCAGCTTTTCTTGTAGTTCCCTAATCAGTCCACTTATTGGGTTGAATTTGATTCCTATGAGGCTATTACTTGTATTCAATATTTTTAAAATAATTCACATTCTTTTTATCACGTAATTTGTAAGATTAAAGTCAATACTAAACTTGTAAGTCTGTTAGATTAAGCCACATATTCAAGAAACCAAATCAATGTGCTTATATGATCTCTAAAACTAGCCTAGAATTTCTTTCTCCCTTAATTAGTTTAGATCAGGCTCCTTATGACTTGCTTCCTTCCTCAGTTTTGGACCTATGTCTTAGATTCTTCTCTTAGCTTGATTTGTTTGTTGGGCTTTTAGCTCCCATTATTAGTAAAAATAAAAATAAAGATAACATAAGCACAAATTACTTTTAAACCAAATAATTATAAAAAAATTAAAACTTATCACTAGTTTTAAGAATTTTTTTTTATCTCTCTTTCTTATTAAATTATGATTTTTTATTAATAATTCAATAAAAACACACAATTTAATAAAAAAAATATTTTTTTTTCTATAATATAAAAAGCTCCTTTTAAAATCTCCTATATATATATATATATATATATATATATATATATATATATTATAATAATTTTTACATAATTTTTTCATTATCTTTAACTATCCAGTCAAAATTAAATTATAAAGCAAAACTAATGAGTCTCAACCAGTGTCTATAATATATAGCCTGTAGTATGTGGATGACAAATCATGATATAATTTGTGAGAATTCTAACCTTTCTTCTCTGCTATACTATATTATAAAAAATCAAGAATATCTTTGAAAATTACAAAGATATTATTGAAGAAATAAACATGACTCTGATAATTTTTAGAATGTATTGACTCTAAGGTTTTCGCAATGCACAGTAAACAAATATATCTCTACAATAAACTATATTTCGTATGCCTTCATGTTTCTAACACATGCTTATTTTATGAGTTTAATTTATGAAATATGTTTTAAAAATATTTTATACAATTAATAAACATAAAAGCTAGTACTTTTTTAAGATATAATAATTTATTATTGACTGCTAATAAAAAAAAATTACATTATCAATATACTTCAATTAAATTCTTATTTTATTTGTAAATGAATGTTTTATATTTTTTGTAAAAGATTTATGAGAGACTATTAAATATTTTAAATTTAATGTATTTTACGTTATTCAATAATTTATTTATTTCAATGTATTTTTGTATTTATTCAATAATTTTTTAAATTGAATTAATTCCATCACGGCCTCATTATATTTTATTTACATTTTATCATTTCCTCTTAAATTTTCTCTTACATTTTATCTATTCTAACCGACAGAACGAGTGGGAGCACACCTGCTATCCTTCGCGCTTTAAAATTTAAGAGCACACCTACTACCCTTCGTGCTTTAAAATTTAATATTTTAACATAATAAAAATGTTATTTTATTATTTTAAAAGTTAGTTTAGGAGTGTATTTTGAGGATGGTTATATTTTAAAATAATAAAAATATTATACACAATATTATATGGAGTGTTAATTTTTTATACTTTTGTTTCATTTATCAGAGACAAAATGTATAAAAATTACAAAATTAAAATACTAAAATATTCTTAATTATATCTTGTCTCACAAAATACAATATAAAACCCTAAGTTATACCTAAATATTTTTAATTTACATACTTCTTATAACCAAAGAATCCTCTATCCCTGTTCATCTGTCACACAATCTTGGTTCTGCTTTTTTTTTTGTTCTCCTCTAATAATACGATTGATTAAGAAGTTATCATATATTAATTTTTTTAATCATATTCTGATAATAAGAGAAATGAAATGTGCTGAACAAAAAATATAAAATAAAAAATAAAAAATTTACAAAATTATAGAAATTTAAAATATATTTAAATCTTTAATTTATTGTAAAGTCAGTGTTTCTTTGGAAAGACTTATTTAGATTCCAAACCTCATTTTAGTAAGACTCCTTGATTTGAGGGTTTTGAATTTTGACATTTAGTTTCCAAGTATTCTAAATATTTCGTGTGACATTTAGTATGAAATGTTGGGTGGAAATCAAGTTATTAACGTTGTTTTACAGAATAACTTTTAATAAATATTAAATTTTATTAATCTAATCATGAAATTAAAACATCTTATTGAACAGATTAAGTCTAAAAAATTCGTTTAAATCAAAAAATATTTAATACTGCATCGATCAATTTTATTTTAATGTATAATATATTTTTAAAATATAAATAAATTTAAAATTATATATTTACAAATGTTTAATTCATCTAATATTTAATATGTATGATTAATATATTAATGTCGTATTATTCAACTTAGAGCTATTAAAATGAGTTGTAAATCATGAATTAACCTATTTGAAAATCAGCTTTTGATAAATTGATTATAAAAAAAGTCTTACAAGGCACTCAAGTTTTTTTTCGTTTTTTTTCTTTATTTAACTCACCTAACCCACCAAACTATACGATCTAAATTAAGTTGACTTTATTTTGAATTACTATTTTATCATTAATATTATTTATTTGATTTTACTATTGTTATTTCTTTTAATAATCTTAAAATACTAAGACATTTATGCTATTAAATTTAGATACCTACCATTTTTAATAACTTTTTATAAAATATAAAATTAATTAATTTAATTATTAAATTTTATATTAAATTTATGATTATGTATATCAAATTTTGCACAATTTAAATATTCAAAAACATATTATCTAAAATTTGATATTTATTTATATTTTTAAAAAATATAATACTCATAAAATAAAGTAATTCGATAAAGTATATATTATTTTTATTTTATATAAAGTTTATAAAATTATTTTATTCGATAACAACTTTCAAAACATAATTAAAGTGGTCAACCGAAAAAGTGAGTCTTTTTTTAAAAATTTTATTATATTGATTAATAGTTTTTATTAAAACTGCAACTATTTTTTATCGGAGAGAATTTTGTTCAAGTTAGATAAGATTGTTTACTTTAAAAAATAATATTATATTAAAAGTTTTAAGGTTTTTATTATTCTAAAAACATTCTTTATGTAATTTATTTCTTTTACTCATTCACATATTTTACTCATATTCCTTTTTTAATTAATATTAATTCTATTTATATCTCGTGGGTACAAATAAAGCTAGCTCAAGTCTCGATGTATGTACGTATATAAAGGATTTTGATCATCTACAAGTCTACAAGGCATACAATTGAAACGCCAAATTTGAGAAGATGTGTAAGAGAGAAACGCACGTTGTGCTAATAGTGTTATTTTTTCTCTCTTTCTCTGCTTGTGTTAATGGGAAGCACTTTGTGCTGGTTCATGGAGCTGGGCATGGTGCATGGTGTTGGTATAAAGTGGCAACTATGCTGAAAAGCGGTGGTCACAATGTTACAACGTTGGATCTAGTTGCTTCTGGCATCAATCCAAAGCAAGTGCAAGACATTGATTCAATTTCACAGTACTATGAACCTTTGATGACATTCATGGGTTCTATTCCTCCCAAAGAGAAAGTGATTTTGGTGGGTCATAGTCTTGGTGGCATATCCATTTCTGTGGCAATGGAGAGGTTTCATGAGAAAATATCCCTTGCAATCTTTGTCACTGCCTTTGTTACAAGTCAAAACCTCACTTACCCTGCTATTCTTCGAGAGGTATTTTGCTTTCTTCTCCCTCATTCTCACGTATATTTCACTTATTTCTTGATTATGACATTTAACTACTGTGCTTAAATATATGCACATTTACAACTCATTATAGTGTTTAAAGATTCTCATCACACATATTTGACTTTTTTTAACATATGATTAAAATAATAACCACTAGCTATGATAAAATATATGCACGTTTTACAACTCACTATAAAGTTAAGGGATGGTTAAGCACTCGTGAAAGTGATAAATAAATAAAGTTATAATTTTCAAATTTTGAGGAGAACATATAAATTTTGAGGCTTTTAAGTTCTGCTTTAGTAATTTACATCTTTATCTATTAGTTTAAATTTATTAATTATTTTAACTTTTAATTTTATCAAACATTTTTTATTCAATCATTTAATTTTCTGATTAATTTTACCAAACACGCCTATATACTGGATCGAGATTTTTTTTATTTTTTGGCGCGAATATGATCATCATGTTTTGCTATTTTTTTATTTTTGCTTAAACAAAAAATAATTCATTTAAACAAAAATAAAAAAATATAAAACATGAGGATCACGAGAGAGGACCCTGATTCCTATATACTCCACCGTTAAAGTATATATTTAAATTTTTTTTTTAAATATTTAGACTTTTTATCATACTCCCTTTGTTTGCACGATACATATCATTGCTGTGTCATATCCATGAACCCAATCAACACTTAACTCATATGAGGGTTCTTACAGGCGAAAAGACTGGGTATCTTTACGGGCGCAAAACTTCTTCCTTTGGATGCTCCCAACAAAACCGTAACTGTGGCAGTGTCTGACCCCGAAATGTTGAGATCTAGGTTGTATCAATTATCACCACCTCAGGTAAAACTATTCAGTTGAATTAATCTATGCCATGGTTGATAAGAAAAACAACCAAAACCAAAACATAAACTATGCTTTTATAGCTACCAAGAGTTAAGTGATTTTACTTTTTGGTGGAAAAATTAAGTGAATTGAAATTGGGTTTGAAAAACTAGTTTTTTAATTTGCCTTTAAAGACATAAAAAATCGCAGAATTTAATACATTAATAATATAAAATATATTATCTTTAGTTTCGCTAAACGATAAACAATAATGCAATCAAATCACAGTCATTTAAGAACTTTCTTTTGTAATGATTGTCAAATTCGATGCAAAAGTTAGGGATACGCATTGTAACAAGTGGGTCACATATTAAATAATTCAACCCTTCTAATATATTCATATGCAGGATTTGACACTAGCATTATCACTAGTGAGACCCTCACCTTTCTTTAATGATAATGATGAACTATTGCTGAAAGAAACCACTGTTACAAAGAACAAGAATGGAAGGGTATCCAAGGTCTTCATCATCAGCACAGGAGATAATTTGATAACAAAAGATTTTCAATTATGGATGATTGAGAGAACTGGTCCATTTGCCGAGGTGAAAGAAATCAAAGGTTCAGATCACATGGTCATGTTCTCCAAACCAGAAAAACTTACCTCTCAGCTTCTTGATTTTGCAAATAAAAATGAACAGTGTCCATATGTTTCACATAAGTTTAATTTAGATTTTGTTCAGGAATAAATGAAAAAAAAACACAAAGAAAGGGGTATTTAATCTTCAATATTACTGTGTTCACACTATATATCTTGTTCGGTGATTTCATGTGATACTAGTGATTTTACACTTGTGACAAATATATTTCTAACGCATTATTTGATACATATGATGTTTGTTTATATGGAACTGTAACGTTTGTACAATATGTGCTCATTTTATGCATGTATATAAATTACAACAATTATACAATGTAAAATATAGGCAACAGGTATGTCTAAATTAATTATTTAGGGAAGCAACAAAAGAATATATAGGTAGAAAATAAAGTAAACAACTACTAATTAGATGACAGTGAGATGATATTTTTATTTAGAAGTTGTGTTGAATTTTAAATATAAACTTTTCAGTTAAAATAAACAAATATTGTCTGTAATTTTCATGTAATTTTCTGTAACATACATTGTTTTGATTTTGATTACAAGGCTCTAAACATTAACTTTTTAATTGATAGACTGGTCCGTTTCATGTACATTACTAAATTTAAAACATTTTAAATAAAAAATTATATTAACATTCTTACATTTAATAAATTTTTTAAATAAAAATATTTTTATCATTATAAAAAAGTATTTTATTTTATTAAATAGGAATAAATTAAAAAATAAATTTTAAACTTTTAAAAATAAATTATGAAAAATACAAAAAAATATAGGCAATTGTAAACCTGATATACGATTCACATATATAAACCAAGATGCAGAAGATCTGGCTGCATATCAGTGTGGCAAATAACAAGCTCCTCAAAAAGCTCTGGGTCTACTACGGTTTTGGTCATCACCTTTGCAATTCAAATGCCATTCCAAAATATTCAACTAGAAAAAAATGATTTAGCAATCGATAAATTTAGTATCTAAAAGTCAAAATTCTGTAACTAAATAAATTAGCGATCGAAACATCACCCAACTCATATTTAGTTCTTATAATTTCATATTGCCTTAATCTTAATACATATTTTAATGATGTTAGTTTTGACCATACTCGTCGAAAAGCTAATAGAGCTACACATCACCTACGTAAGTCCTCTTTAACCCAGCCAAACACAGTGTTTAGCTTGAAGAAACTCTAGACTTACTTTACGGCTCTTTTGACATAAATAAACGAATTTAAAATATATATTATGTATATGTCTTTTTTTTTATATCCGTTTATATTTATGTCTTGATTTTATTATATTAGAAGTCAATATTAATCAAATTTTTTTCAAATTTTTACATAGAACTTAAATAGAAGTGAATTTGAATCGACTTTTTATCATTTTTTAAAATTTGTGTTCATTTATACTTATTCTAAAATCGATTGTAATAGTTAGACTTCTGATGATTTTTTTAATGCTTTATATATATAAGTTGATTTTAATCGACTTTAATATAGTTGCTCTCACAACTTATGTTAATTTTAATAGAATTTTATTTAAAACAGAAATTAGTTTCAATAATTTTAATTTAAAGTAGAAGTTTATTAAAGTAAATCTTAGTACAGATTAACTTGCTTGTTCATTATAGATAGACAAAGATAACTCTCGACTTTGCACGATTATGTTCAAAAAAATTTGAGATTAAGTGTGAAAATCCTAGTGAAATGACAGAGAGTTATGTTCATGTGTTTATATGTTATAATGGTGATGTTGTAAACACAATGGAGGAGAGACATTTTGTAGTAACAATCAAGCTTAGTTAGTTGTCTGTCCACTAATTACTCTACTACAATTAGAAAGTCCATTATTAGAGAAGTGTAAGGGAAACAACATACAAGTTTTAAAAATATTCTATAGGATGCTTGTTGATATTGGGCCAAATGATATCCGATATAAAAGGTGACAAATTTAGAAAGATTAGCACATTGATTTCATATTTAGTTATTTTAACTCGTTTGCTGAAGTTTGTAGAATATAGCTATTTGTCGAACTATAAGGCAATCATTTTAGCTCTAGCGGTTCAGCTCTAAATCCTTCACTTTCTCTATCAAACCTAGCCCTATTAATCAAAGTATCCCACTATGAAGTGCACAATTCACGTGGTGAGATAGATTCTCCAAGTTTCAAACGCTTTGTTAGACAAATTGAAAAGTCATTATCACTGAATTCATAGGAAATGACACAAGGTACTTGGTTAGAGATTATGATTTTATTGTGGCACAATAGGATGATGGAAATGATGAAGAGAAGGATCTTGATGGTGAAGAAAGTGAACGAATGTTTGATGTACATAGCATCATCACCATGTGCCTCATCTGGGTATTAGAATATGCTAGCACATGTACCAGCATGTAAACAATGCCTAAAAGAGCATCTATCTGGTACTTTAGCAGGGTGTGTGATGTTTGGTGCTGAGGGCATGGGGCTACACCATCAGGCAAATCATGCTAGCACGTGTACTTAATAAAGGGGCAATCATCATCAGCTAACCAATACTGAACTTGTCGCTCCCTACGTGCCTTCCATGCAACATGACATGTCACACTACAATATATCTAGATCACCCATTCCATCCTTGATGTGCAACCAATCAATGCTTATCGAGATGATTGGTATGCGTTATTCTCCACCAAATTGTTAAACCACGCAATTAATAGGGTGCCACTCAATCACATCAAACTATATAAAGCAGTCACATATGTCTATACATTGAACGTTCCTCAACTCATAATTGTTGTAGGGTGTCTGCCTAAACTAAACCAATTAATAAGAAATATTAGACTAATAAATAAAATAATTCAATACAAGAGTTAGTAGCATACACTTTATTTTGACTTACCTTAGTAATGCTAATTGAACTAATGATCCTCATGTATCTCAATAGTCTATCCGTGACTGATCTCGTTGATGACCTAAAACTTTTCTACCTAAAATGAAAATAATTGGTTTTCATCTTTGCAAATTTAACATTTAAAAATAAAAAAAAATTCACTAATGTATGTACCTCAATGCTCGTGGAAATGTAGGTTGATAACGATTTCTAGGGGCCAATTGATATATTATGTACCATGTTCAAGACTATATAAGAAGTATGATTTGCCTGCAATCTTAATGACATTGTATTTCATTGCATGACAAAGCTCACGATAAAGAGATCTTAAAACAATTGACCCCCAATTATAGTTTGAAGTCCTAATAAAATTAGTTAAAAGAGGTAACCACTTCATATGAACCCTAAATCCCGATTTATCTGAAAATAATACTCTACCGAATAGAATCATTATGTATGCTCTGGTGCAGTGGATAATAGTCTGTTCATCAGCATTGTGGGGTACTACTCCAAATGTATCTGTTAACCACTATAGATTTATGAAGAATCTTTTTATGTTTCTCTCATCCGGAACTGCTCCAAGTAAATCTCCACACAATGCTCATATATCTCGATCATAAAATTTCTCACATGCTCCAATGTAGCCACTCAGAAGGAGCTCATTTACACGCAAGCCTAGCTGGAACATAACATTCTCCAAAGTAATCATACATTCTTCATAGGAAAGATGAAATATGTGTAACTTAGGCCTCCAACATTCCACAAGTGCACTTATGAGCGCCTATCAAAATCAAATACTAGGATCATATTTGCAACATGCCAAAAACCAATCTGCCTAAGAAATGGTTCCATTCTCAGATCTAAAGCTACCATTATATTACAGTGCTTACTTTTTAAAATTTGAGAACCTTGTACAATAAGAAAATATTATAGACAATTTTGCAAATTAAACATAAAATAAATAAAAATTGCACAAAATTTTTTATTAATATTTTCTTCATATATAATATGAAATTTAAATAAAGACATTACAACAAAAATAAACTTAAATTAACTATGTCACAAAGTAAATTTAGCAAAAAAATAAATTTTAATTTATTATAATTTATAAATTACTACAATACAAAATTAAATTATCATAATAATTAAAATATGTGGCAAATAATTAATTAAATTTACAAATATAATAATGAATGTTTACACATCTTTCAAAACATACAATTGCAGAATTAATGACACATTAAATAAATAAATAAATAAAATCTAATTATAAAAATTTTAAAAATTAAAATTACCTGCATTGAGAGCTTACTTGTAATATGATAAAAAAAAAATTAAGCCGATATAAATTATTATTTATTTTCATAGTAAGTATATGAACCACCTTTTTTCTTAACTCAAATTGTTTGTAGTCTCTTCTCCTCTCCTCTCCCACTTTCTCCTTTCTTCCTTCATGCAGGATATTTAAATGATTGCAAAAGTCTATTAAACTGTCTCTACTATAGTACTAAAGTCGATTATAATTGACTTCCTTATTTATTGTACTAAGTTAATTATAATCAACTTCTTTAGGAGCAATAAAAGGAAACTAAAGTCGACTTCAACAATAGTGGAATTGAAGCACAACTAGGCATAAGGAAGTCGATTCTAATCGTTTTCCTTTGATAAAAAGTCATTTTTAGTTGACTTAATTGCAGCAAAGACAAGACATTCATGTAAATTAAAACTATTGGAGCACATGCGTAGTATTTCAAATTTTTTATTTTATTTATGTCAAAAGCCTATAAAGTTAGTATTTTTTAATTTCAAATGGTAGTTTACTATATTAGATTATAGTAAAAATAACCTTTTATATTGTCAGGACATTCCAATTAATTTTTTAATTTTATATTTATTTTTAAAAAATTGATTTCAAAGTAAATATAAAATAAATTTAAGAATGATTTTTAAAATGTAATTTAATTTATTACATTATTATAATTATATAGTTTACTTTAAGATTCTCCCTCACGATTAGAACTGTCAAAAAAATCCATTTGATCTAACCCTAACTCATGTGAATCGAGGCCAAAAAGCTATGTGGACCAGGGTTAGGATCAGTGCTTTATGAGAAAAAAAAATTATCTATTCTTAGAGAATTTAGATTTTAAGAAATTTGATATGTATTTCAATAATTATTAAAGCATTTATTAAAAATATTTATTTCATATGATATTTTTATTATAAACTTGTAGACTAATAAAATTGCTTAAAACAAGATAAAAAAAATGAAATTGCTATAATATTAAATATTTATAATGATTATTGTTATTGAATAATATTAATAAAAATATAATTATTTATTATTAAATTAGTTTACATATTTTTCTAATTTTTATCTGTATTATTGATAATTATTAAATAATTATAACAATTTTTATATAATTTTATAAATAATTTTTAAAATATTATTTGAACATTAACTATAAATATTTTTATATTATAAAATTTTATTTTTTTCTTGATTTATTTTTATAAAATTCTTAAAGTATTATAGATTTTAATTTTTTTTTGTGAATGTCATATTTTGTTTGTTTAGAGACATCTTATATTTAATAAGTAAAGTCATAGTAAACATATAAAATTGATAATAAAAAATAATATTTACATAATTTGTTAAATCAACGAAATATAAATTATTATATTAAGAAAAAGTAAATAAATATCGTCATTATGAAAATTATAAAAATAAAATACTTTATATCATAAAATTTATGGAAGTAGAAAAATAACATATAAGCATATTAAAAATTAATAAATATTTACAAATTTAACTTTTGCTTCATTTTAATTTAATATAATTTATGTTTAAATTAAAATAACTTATATTTCTAAACTTTTATCTTAATAAATATTATAAATAAATAATATAATAATTATTAATTACTTTTAGAAATAAGTAGGCTAACTTATTCTGATCCTAATCCTAGGCCTAGCTCACCATTTCTTTTAGATTGGAATTTAGAGACAAAACTAATCCACTAACTATAAAATTTTAAAAAAATAGGGCTACTTAGGGGGTTAAGCTGCAAATGCATTAAGAGTGCTGTGCATGTAGATTTAATTTCAACTTTTTCCTTTATATAATTTACTCCAACATCTACCTTGATTTCTTTGCAGATTGATTTACCTAAGTTTCATAACATTTTATAATATTTTACCAAAACTTATTTTCTGGGTCAGTATTATAACGTGTTTGGCACTTCATACAAGCTGTTATTGTTTAATTTCAACGTTAGTGACAGTACGTATATGAACTGTCTCAGATATTATTATACATACAGATCGGTAGATTACTAATCATCATAACTAAAAATTAAAAATAAAAATAAAAATTAACCTATCCTTTTCGATGTACAATATTCAAATAAATCAAAGTATACCTTCCAAAGTCCTAAGAATAGTTTTTGCGTAAACAAACAGACATGCACTATGTGATAAATCTTAATAGCATAGACTCTGTAAGGATATTGCAGTTGACAATAAATCAATTCCTAGAATACCAAATAGCATTTTACATGTGGCTTCTTATGAAAACAAATCAATGATATGAATATAAAATAAGCCCATAGAATAATTACATGGAAAAATTAATGCATATAAAGGAACATATTGCTCCAATTCTTATATGAATAACCCTTAAGTAAGCAAATATAGAAAGGCCAAAATTTGGAAGGATGTTGAAAAGGGAGAGCCATTTTGGTAAAATTCTTTTCTTCTTTTTCCTTTCTATCTTCAATTGTGTTAATGGTGCCCACTTTGTGCTCATTCATGGTGGCAGCCACGGTGCATGGTGCTGGTATAAGGTGGCAACTATGCTAAAATCTGCAGGTCATAATGTTACAGCCCATGACTTGGGTGCTTCAGGTATCAACCCAAAACAAGTGCAAGAGATTCATTCAATTTCAGAATACTATGAACCTTTGATGACATTTATGGGATCTCTTCCCCCAAAAGAGAAGGTGATTCTTGTGGGTCATAGTCTTGGTGGGATTCCAATGTCTGTTGCTATGGAGAAGTTCCCTGAGAAAATTACAGTAGCAGTTTTTGTTACTGCATTTGTCATTAGTGAAAACCTCACATACCCTGCTCTACTTCAAGAGGTACTTCCCTTTCTCTCTCAATCTCTTTTCTTTTTTGTCTGTGAAAAACGTGTTTGAAGGGAATGAGTATATTTTCATGCAATAGTTGAAGAAGGACATCAATGTCTATAATTTTACGTGGACTAAATTGAACTACTATGTTACAATTTATCACTTTGAAGTTTTCTTTCTTAAAGTCAGTTGAAATCCAAATCAACCTGATCTAACCGTTAACAAGTTAGTTCAAATTGAATAGTCGAGTCTATGTTAAATATATATATATATATATATATATATATATATATATATATATATATATATATATATCTTTACAAACACATCGTAATTCAAACTCTAATAGTAAATCATTCATAAAAAAATATCATTTAAAAATATAACAAGATTTAAAACACAAATGTTACCTATATATATTATTATGCATTAATTACAAAAGAGGGACATGGATTATCGTTTTGTTTAGTTAACGCTGTATCAAATCGAAACACACAACACACGTTAATATTTAGTACTGTGTAACAGCTAGCTAAAACGGCAGGTTCCTCAATGGATACCCAATTTTTCTTCTTTGATGGGCCTAAGAAACCTGCAACTGCTAGATTGGTTGGACCCAAATTCATGGCATCGAAGATGTATCAATTATCGCCACCTGAGGTAAATATTTTCAAATGAACTCAATCTGATCTTTGCTACCCATTTTTTTATTTTTGCTATCAAGTGATTTCCACATTAATGAAACTAACTCCTAATTAAAATATATAGGATTTGACCCTTGCATTGTCCTTGGTGAGACCTGTACCTATTTATAATGATGTTGAACTGTTGTCGAAAGAAACAAAGGTTACCAACAAAAGAAATGGTAGGGTTCCTAAAGTTTATATCATCAGCAAAAGAGACAATTTGTTGACAGAAGACATACAAATGTGGATGATTGAGAGAACTGGTCCATTTGCTGAGCTGAAAGTGATAAAAGATTCTGATCACATGGTCGTGTTTTCCCAGCCCAAGAAACTTAGCTCTCATCTTCTAAATATTGCACACAAATATTAATTTCTTATGGTTATGTGAAACTAAATAAATGAGAAAGGTTTTTTATTTGAGAGTGAAAAAAAGAAATTTAATTGTTAAATTTTATTATGAAAGGCATGATTAAAATATAAAATTTATGTGCCAATTTTTAAAGGTTGTGCAACTTTTGAAATTGAACACATAATTTTAATTAATTTTTAATTATGACTATTTATATATAATTATATAAGACAATTTTACCTTGTTTTTTTTTTCTATTCTCAGATAAAATAACTTTCTCAGGGATACATGCATCCCATTAGTTACTGTCAGATTTCAATCTTGTTTTTTTTTTTTTTTCTTTTTTTGTGATTTCCTTTTTGGACATGTTCCTAGCTATCATGTTTAAAAAAGAAAAAAAGAAGAAGTAAAAGATCAGCCAAAATGATGACATTTTAATTGTGATTGTAATTTCCATTTAGAATGTGTTTGAAATGTAAGCTTTTTAGTTAATTAAAATTTTATTTTATTTGCTAAAAAATTGTTTAATAAAACAAAATTTATTGGTAAAGTAGTGAAATATATGATTTATTACCTGAAAGTAATTTTTTTAATTTTTTTTAGTAAAAATATTTTTTAAAAAAAGTATGAAGAACAAAATATAATATTTGTATTATCTTATTTTATTTAATAAAATATTTACAAACAAGAGTAAATTAAAAATGTCATCCCAATTTTAAATATAATAAATATTATGTCAATTTTGATTTTTTTTTTTTGTGTTATACACTTTAACATTAATGGTCTTGATTTATTTTTAAATTTAAAGATATTGAGTGAAAAGACAATAAAAAACTAATACTCTAATAAAAATATTGAACTACATTAGAAAAATATACTATTATTTAAATGTTTGTATTTTTTATATAATATTATTAACAATACTTATAAAAGTTGGTATTGATGAGAGAAGTTTTTTAAAATTTTAATTACTCAAATCTTATCTTAGATTAACAATATTACAAAAAATATATATTAAATGATTAGCTATACTCTTAAGAGTGAAATATTATAATTACTTGTTATAAAATTTTGATAAATAATTTTGTAACAAAAAGTTTAAATAATAGTGTGAAAATAATCATCAACATTATATCAAGTCCATTTAATCAATAATTTTGTCTATAGTCATAGCCTTAGGTGTCAAATGTATAGCCACATACCATTGAACACATGGATGAATTAGTAAGAAATTGTTCTAATTTAAGAAGACAAAACTGACATAGTATTAAATATACAACTACAACTGAGGTTACTTTTGATTCTATACCATTTCTTAATTTATACTTAACTTGCCCAATTGTCACGAACAGCTGGTAATAAAGTGTACAATTATTAAAATACATGTTTTAGGTCTTCTTTACCAGCTGTTTTTTAACTTCAACGTTAGTGACAGTACTATATGAACTGTCTCACAAATTTTTATAAAAAAATTCTAGCCATTTCTTTTTGGTGTACAATATATAAATAAATCAAAGCATACCTTCTAAAGTCTTATGCATCATTTTTGCATAAACAAATAGACATGCACTCAATGTGATAAATTTTAAAAGCATATACTTTGTAAGGATATTATATTTTGAGCTTCATTATATTTGCAAGTCTATAATCAATTTATTTAGTCGAAGGTAAATTCTAAAAGCATAGACTTTGTAAGGATATTATTATACTTTGAGTTTCTTTATATTTGCATGTCTAGTTAGTCAAAGGTATTTTGTTTGAATCTCACTGTGTCAAATTCTCTTGGCTTAGTGATAGTCACCAACAGCAAATAGGGACTACTTAATAACAACTTGTGGTCTTTGACTTTTGAAAAGTATGGACTTTAAAACTTTCTATAGAGTTGGAACGAAGAAGGAATAAGGAAAGTGTTTAGAAAATAAAAGAGAAGAAGAGGAAGGATAATTAATTAAAAAAATTGTTTAAATTAGACAAACTTAAAATACAGAGTTAAGAGAGTTTTAAAGTGTTTATAAAACATTTTTTTCTTATTAAAAACTCTTAAATAAAAATTGTCATTGTATAAGTCTTTATCTACCTTTTATTTATTTCAAAAATTGCTCTCAAACAAAATTTAAGAATATTGTAATTAACAACAAATTAATTCCTAGAATAGCACATTTCATTTTACAATTGACTTCTTAAAATAAATTAATGATAAGAATGTAAAAAGCCCATAAAATGATTACACGGAAAAATAACCTGTGTAGAACTGTTTATAAAGGAACAGATTGGTCCAATTCTAACAGGAACAATCATTAAGCAAATATAGAAGGCCAAAATTTAGAAAGATGTTAAAAAGGGAGGTGCATTTTGTGCAAATTCTTTTCCTATTTTTCCTTTCAATATTCAATGGCGTTAATGGTGCGCACTTTGTGCTCATTCATTGTGCCAGCCATGGTGCATGGTGCTGGTGTAAGGTGGCAACTATGTTAAAATCTGCAGGTCATAATGTTACAGCCCATGACTTGAGTGCTTCACGTATCAACCCAAAACAAGTGCAAGAGATAAAGCGGAAAAAAAAGAGATAATAGAAAAAGATGACTGAATAATACTTCAATTAATTTTCTCATAATAATTACAAGAACAAGCCTCTTATTTATACTAAGAGAGAAGGCACAGCTAGAAAATAAAGAAACAGAAAACAAACTAATTAAATAGAACAAAATTAACTAAACAGACTTAATAGAATGCAACCAACAAAACAGATTAGCTAGTTGTCACCTATTAGTAACATATTGTTAGTTTTATTCTCCAATACCCCCAACTAGAGAGTATAACACTCCTAGCTTGGAAAGAAGAAAAGAAAAGGGAGGGTCAAGTGGCTTGGAGAAGAGATCTACACGTTGCTCTCTGCTACTAATAGGTAAAAGGTGAAAGTTTAGCCTGAAGTTTCTCCTTGACCAAGTGGCAATCAATGTCTAGGTATTTGGTTCTTTCATGAAAAACAACATTAGCAACAATGTGTTTGGCTAAGGCACTATCACAATAGAGAAATGTTGGTTGAATGTAGGAAACTCCAAGATCATCCAATAGGTAAGTCAGCCATTGCAACTCACAAACAATAGTTCCTAAGGCACGATATTCAACCTCTAAAGAAGATCTGGAAATGGTAGGTTGCTTCTTGGATTTTCATGAAACTAAAGAATTGCCAAGATAGATACAATAACCTGTGATTGATTTTCGAGAGTCTAGATAAGTGCCCCAATCTGAGTCAGTAAAGCCTTTCGGTCATAATGTGGAATTGCTGGGATAAAAGATTCCTTGTCCTGGGGAACCTTTCAAATATCTAAGGACTTGAATGCAAGCCTTGTAATGCAATTCAGTTGGACTGCTCATGAACTGGCTATGCTGTTAAACAGCAAAGCTGATGTCTGGTCTGGTATTGGTAAGATAGAGTAATCTCCCAACATGTTTTCTGTATCCAGTAGCATCTGAGTAATTAAGGGAACTGTCATCATGAGCAAGTCTAGTAGTCTTGATCATCAGTGTAGGGACAGGTTTAGCTGCAAGCAAACCAAAGTCAAAAATTAGATCTAAAGTGTATTTTCTTTGAGATATAGTAAGAACTAAATGTGATCTTGCCACTTCAAGACCAAGGAAGTATTTAAGATTGTCAAAGTCCTTGATTTTAAAGGTGTTGTCAAGATCTTGTTTTATAGAAGCAATTTCTGTTGCATCATCTCCTTCCAATATAAGATCATCAACATAAACTAAAATGATGGTTAGCTTAGAATTGACTTTCTTAATAAAAAGAGAATGATCATAACCAGATTGTCTATATCCAAGGTTTAAGAGAAAAATAGAGAGTTTGGCAAACCATTGTCTACTAACTTGTTTCAAGCCATAGATAGATTTGTGTAGTTTATAAACCAATGTAGGATCTAAAACAGAAAATTCTTGAGGAGTTTCCATATAAACTTCTTCAGTTAAATCACCATATAAAAATGCATTGTTGATGTCAAGTTGGTGAAGAAACCAATTCTTAGTAGAAGCAAGAGCAAGTAAAAGTCTAACAGTAGTCAATTTAACTACAGGGGCAAAAGTGTCAAAGTAATCTAAACCTTCAGTTTAGTTGTATCCTTTGGCCACTAATCTAACCTTATATCTTTGTAGAGTCCCATCTGAATTATATTTGATTTTATAAATCCATTTGGATCCAATAATAGACTTTTCTATGGGTAAATGGGTTACAGACCAAGTTTTATTTATCTTGAGTGCATCAAGTTCATCTTGCATTGCCTTAATCCAATGAGAAAATTTAGCAGCTTGTTGATAGGTTTTAGGCTCAAATTTTGTAGTAATAGATAAAGTGAATTTTAAAAAATTAGGATTTAGAGAATGATAAAATAAAACATAAGACAATGGGTACCTTATATTCTTAGAATCACGAGTTCCCATATTTTGTAAAAGATGACAATGATAAATAGTCAGGTAAGTGGGTGCTTGTCTATGCCTAGTGGATCTTCAAAGGTCAGCATTTGGAGGAGCAGAAGAACTAAGCTCACCTTGAGTGTTTTGTGGTTCAACAGAGAGGAGCTGAGTATCCATGCTGTTAGAAACTTCACCTTCCATAGGATAATTGTTGGATAGATTAACATCACTTAAAAGGAAATCAAAAGTCTCACTTACGTAAGGATCAATCTAGTTATTAATAGGAGAAACCTTGTGAAAAGGAAATATATTTTCATAAAAGATCACATTCCTAGAAATAAGAATTTCTTTAGTGGATAAATCAAGGGCAATGTAACCTTTTGTACCAAACTTAATTCCTAGCTCTAGAATCTAATTTGTTTCTATATTGAGTAAGCATAGAAACAAAACACAAACTGCCCAAGACTTTTAGACCAAGGTAAGTAGGGAGTTTTTCATTAAGAATTTCAAAGGGAGATTTACCTTTCAGTATAGAGTAGGCAATTTATTTATGAGATGTATAGCATAAAGAACAACATATAACCAGTAAACATTAGGCAAATTAGAAT